TTTCATGACAGTTCTCGCTAGTGACAACATGAGACGTCTTAATTGGCAAGCCGTGTCTCTACAGCTAGAGGCACTGGTGCCGAACGAAGTAAAGGAAGTCAGAGTGAATAGCCGCAAGAACACCCTAGCGATTGACGTCAATCATGTGACTGCGCGGGACAGATTGCGTGAAGTAACGAACTTAATGGGATGAAAGTCCGCTCTCGTATATCACTGGGCAAAGAAGTGAGCAGTGGGGTGATATATGAAGTTGCCGAAGCCATTAACAACTCGGACCTACCAGTCTTGATTAAGCCGGCTTCGGAAGATGCCATTGTTACAAGTATAAGTCGTATCGGGACATCACGACGCGTATGAATTAGATATAAGGGGGAATCACTTCCATCACACGTAAAAGTGGGCCACTCCTGTGACGCAGTTCGCCCTTTCATTGCGAAACCACTTCAGTCCTGGAAGTGCATGATGTTAGGTCATGCAAGTGGTGTGTGCATGAACTGTTCTATCTGGTCCCGATGTACTGGGCACCACAACAAGGAAACGTGCCAGGCCACGAATTTGAAGTGCTCAAACTGCATTGGACCCCATGATGCCTCTTCGAAGGACTGTCCTTTTATTCGAAAGGAGCTAACAATACTGAAGAAAAGGGCCAGAGATGATATCTCATACCGAGAAGCAGTTGCATCTATTACGCACATAGAAATTAATGCAACGAATGTGCTCAATTGTTTAAGACACGGATGTGACTGACCGTCTGTAACGTTAAGCAAATAAGTGCCGTTTTATCGACGGAATGAGTGACATTTCTCTCCTTCTCTTTCTATTTCTAACTTTTATTCCCCTTACCCTCTCCACAGTTCAAGATAGCCAACCGGGCTCAGCCATGGTTGACCTACCTCCCTGCCTTTTTTTCATCCTCATTCCCACTCTATATAGGAATAAATTCTGTGTAAGGCAACGCAGCTGTAGAATTTAGTACCATTCTTTCTTTGATCACTTAGTGGTTTCATTAGTTATGTGTTGATACGAAGAGCAGTGTGCATATTTTCGCTCAATACTTTACAATGATATGATTAGTAATTGTGTGTTAACATATTCATAACTTATTGGAACATAAGTTACTTGTGTAACCCATTTTTTTCTTGTATGTTAACTACTGCTGTGTTAACTCCATTCATTCATACTGAAAGCATGAACGGATGCATGTTTTCAACTTATTTGCTGCCTGCAGGACCACGAACAAAGTGCTTTAAACGAAAAGATTTTAAAATTAATAGTAATTATGCATACCTGGTTATGTGTATTCTGGGTCCCTTAATTCTACACACACTTTTGTTTCCATACCAACAAAACAGCACATGTGCCTTGAATAAATAGAGAAAATATTTATTTTATTTATGTACCACTTTCAGGGAATGTTTGCAGAGGTGAGTGAGAATTGCCATTTAGCTAGCATTTATGTTTACGATTGTTTGCTTTATACTTAACCTCATGAATGAACTGACTTCAGAGGCGATCTCTCCTATGAAGACAGCCGTTTTGAAGTTGAAACGGTGTCAAGCTAGTACAATACTATTTATTCACTTGGGATGTGTCGCTTTTTTAGCATTATGTGTTCAGAAGAGCTCATTGAGGTCACACTGAATATTTGTCACACTGAATACATGACTCTCCAGTATAACTCGCAGTGCCACCTGGGCACATGATATTCATGTATGTTTCTTGTCAAGATTAGTTGCCAGTTTTTCTCTTGAGTGCGAAATTCAAGACGCGAACATCCATTCCAATCACTCAAAGCTGTGCGTTTACAAATAAGCACTATCACGTGAAACCAATGCAATCCAACTTTCAAATCAGCAGCTTTCCACGAAAACCAATTCAATCTTCAACATGAGTTGTCCAACTTGAACCAATGATACCTCAGTTCAAGACCAGTAGCTTTCACAGGAACCTGTGTGTTCCCAGTGGAAGACAAGCAACATTTTACTGGGGTCTGTGTGACCCTATTTCAAGACCAGCAACATCATACTAGTACCAGTACTCAGTCGCCACGAAATCAGCAACACTTTACTGATACCAGAACAGTACCAGTTCAACACCAGCAATATCCCACTTGTGCCAGTATCCTGTTAATTCAAAACCAGCAACATTCTACTGGTACCAGTTCAAGACCAGTGGCCTTCTGCTGGGACCATTTGAAATCAGTTCACTTCCAACTGTGACCAGAAGAAACCAGTTCACTCCCAACTGGGACCACTAAAAACGAGAATAAACCAGTAGAGAAATTTTTACCAGGGCAAATTTGGCATATTTGAAGCTAGCGAAATGGCCCCAAGCGCATAATAAGCGTAACATGTAGTCACGTTGTCACATAACGCGCATGTCACGATTTTAATGCATGAACCACTCACATACCTTCGTCATCCAATAATGTGACGTAATACCAACTTTGGCATATTTGAAGATAGCGATCGAAACGGCTGCGAGCGCATCATGAGCGTAGCATGTAGTCACGTTGTTACACGACACGCATTTCACGATTATCATATTTGCACCAGTCACATACCTTAGATATTCATTCACGAGATGTGATACCAAATTTGGCATATTTTAACCAAGCGAAATGGCCATAAACGCAGCATGATCGTAGGATGTTGCCACGTTGTTACATAACACGCACCTCATAACTATAATGTTTGCGCCAATCATATAACTTCGTCATTCATTGACGTGACGTAATACCACGTTTGGCATATTTGAAGCTAGCAAAACTCCCGTGACCGCATCATGAGCAAAGCAAGTAGTCACGTTCTCGAATGACATACATGTTACGATTATCATGTTTGCACCAGTCACATACTTTCGCCATTCATTGACGTGACGTAATAGCAAATGCGGCATGTTTGAAGCTAGCAAAACAGCCACGAGCGCATCATAATTGTGGAATGAAGTTATGTGGTTACATGCACGCATCTCATCATTATTATGTTTCGACGTATGATTTACTTAAGTCGCCCATTCGCGTCACGTAATACCAAATATGGTACATGTGAAGCTAGCGAAACTGCCGCAAGCACATCATGAGCGGAGCTTGTAGCCACGTTGTAACATAATAATCATCTCACAATTATCATGTTTCTACCTGCCACATGCCCTGGTCATCTATTCACGTCCTGTAACACAAAATTTGATATATTTGAAGCTAGCGAAACGGCTGCGAGCACATCATCAAGGTCACATGTAGTCATGTCGGTACATTACACGCATGTCAAGATTATCATATTTGGACGTGTGATTTACTTAAGTTGTCCGTTCGCGTCACGTAATACCAAATTTGGTACATGTGACGCTAGCGAAACAGCCGCAAGTGCATCATGAGCGTGGCATGTAGTCATGTTGTTACACATCACGCACCTGATGATTATAATGTTTCAATCAGTCACATGCCTTTGTGATTTATTCACGTCCTGTAGTAACAAAATTGATATATGTGTGAAACTACCGAAACGATCGCGAGTGCATCATGAGCGTAGCATGAAGTCACGTTGTTACATGACACGTATTTCACGATTATTATGTTTGCACCAGTTACAAACTTTCGTCATCCATTGACGTGACGTAATACCAAAATTGGCATATTTGAAGCTAGCGTAACGGTCACAACTGCATCATGAGTGTGGCATGTAGCAATGTTGTTACATGCACGCATGTCATTATTATTATATTTGGGCGTGTCATTTGCCTATGTCGTGCGTTTTGAGACGTCATACCAAATTTTGACCACATGAAGCTAGCGAAACGGCGGCTAGCGCATCAAGAGCGTGGCATGCAGCCGTGTGCCCCGCCGCGGTGGTCTAGTGGCTAAGGTACTCGGCTGCTGACCCGCAGGGCGCGGGTTCGAATCCCGGCTGCGGCGGCTGCAGTTCCAATGGAGGCGGAAATGTTGTAGGCCCATGTGCTCAGATTTGGGTGCACGTTAAAGAACCCCAGGTGGTCTAAATTTCCGGAGCCCTCCACTACGGCGTTTCTCATAATCATATAGTGGTTTTGGGACGTTAAACCCCACATATCAATCAAATCATGCAGCCATGTTCTCTTATTACACGCATCTCTCGATTATCTTGTTTGTACCAGTCACCTAACTTCGCCATCCATTCACGCCCCGTAATGCCAAACTTGGCATTTGTGAAGCTAGCGAAACGGCTGCGAGGGCATCTAAATGTCTTAGATAGATAGAGAGATAGATAGAAAGAAAGATAAAAAGATAGATAGATAGATGATAGATAGATAGTTAGATATAGATAGATAGATAGATAGTTACGCCCAAAGCCGCCAAAGTTCGCTAAGAAACGCCTTGCATTAAAAAAGCCAAGCTTTCCTTGGTACGAGGCGTAGCTCACCTTTCTCTTCTTCTAGCACGCGCAGTGTTCACCGTTTCTAACAGCAACCACGCGTAGTCGCCCTCGATCGTAGTCAAAGTATCAAAAGAAGGACACAAGGACACAGCTTAGTGGCTGAAAGTTTTGCACGTCTTTTGCCCTCATCGCGAAGTTCGGTTGCAGCAAACGACAGCTTGACTGCCACTCTGCTACTGAAAGTGGCCACGTTTTCTTTAAGGAGTAAGGTGCAAATCATACTTCATATTTTTGTTATCCTATTCGCTGATGCACCCGGATTCCTTTTGGCACAAAATGCTTTTCTTGGTTTCCCGAGCAAGTGTAGTGATGTGAACAAGTTCAGTTGCGTTTATGGTGACGAATAACAATAAAAATCACGCAATCGCAGAAGCACAGGTAAGGAAAGAACCAGGAAGAGAATTAGTTGCGGACACAGTGTACTTTTTCAGACTTTTTCCCGGTATTTTTTTTTTTACACGTGTTTCTGAACTTCTGTGTTTCACGCACGCCATGTTCATCAATTCACCCCAATAAAATTCAAAGAAGTTCCTGGCCAATGAAAACTTCGAACTCAGAAGCCTGGCGTATATACATAAATCTTCTTACCTGTGCAATGTATTGAAGCAAGATAGCGTAAACTTGGCTCAGGTTCAGTCCGTTTTTCTTGGCGAAGCGCCGGTTACCGTCAGGCGCGATTGCATCATGCCGTGGTATTATTCCCTGGCGAAGCACCCAAAGCACTACTCTGTCGTGCCAGTTCAACTTGACGTCCCAAGTTGGCGAGAACTCTGTGCGGGGAAAAAATAACTTGCAAATAAATCCTAGAGTGGAGGGGAAGGGCAAAAAATTGCGTATTGTAGCACTTAAGCGTAGTAAAACAAATACACTACATGCCTCTCTACAAAATTTTTTTGAGTATTTACATGCCCCTACATCACATTTGTGCCATATTTAAGGCCGAATGGTTTTTTTTATTTATTTATTTATTTATGGTACCCTCAGGGCCCGAAGGCATTACAGAGGGGAGTGGCAATACAAAATAATACAGCAAACGGCAAAACGTAAAGGAAAAGAAGGGAAAATACAAAGCGATTGGCAAAAACACCGTCAGGGGGCACCGTCTGGGGGCCCCGCCCACGATGGCACCGGGAGGTTAAAGCTCTCGGCGACTTCGCGGGCTCTCTGGACAGCCCTTAGCTGCTGGTCCTTTGCAGAGCTGGTGATAAGCTGGAGCCAGTCTTCCTCAGTGGAGGGAGACCCTGAGCCCCCGTTCAAGTCGTGACACTGCCACAGCATGTGCTGGAGGGTGCACCTCGGACAGTAGACTCTACTTCATACCCGCCTGGTGGAACAGTGGCTAAGGTGCTCGGCAACTAACCCCTATGTTACGAGTCCACTCTCGGTCGCTGTGTTCGCAGAGGTCGGTGTAAGGTTGAGCTGGGACTTCATTAAGGTAACACTGGCCGTGCGGTTATAATTGGCTAAAATGAAGCGAACTGAACGATTCTGGACTGCTTCTAATTCATGTGTAACTGTAGTGCCACCAGGATCCCAGACGGATGATGCGTATTCAAGTGATGGACGAATATAAGTAGTGTAAAGAAGTTTCTTAAGGGATGAGGGCGCCATGTAGAAGTTCCTGCGAAAATACCCGAGAGAACGGTTAGCCTTTTCCCCAACCTTTCACTACAGCGCCTCTCACAAACATGCCGTGGTTTTGGAACATAAAACTCAGGATATTATTATTATTATTATTATTATTATTATTATTATTATTATTATTGATATTATATCAAAGACCAATCATTCTTACTAAGCATTTTGTCCACGTGCTGGTGATTTTGCATGTATTCAGTATTTTTCTGTATCGAGTCTGCTAGGCGTTCGCTGTATTCGGAATTCATTAGTGGTAGAGTAATTTAGGCCAATAATAGTTTTTTACTTCATTAAAGAAATGATGGTATTTTCCAGAAGGTTTCAGAATTTGTGCTCGAAAGTGTCACTATAGAGTTTTTTAAGAACTTGCCTTGTAGTAATGAAAATACAGGCATATCAAGTCCTGCACAAATTTCATAAAATACTTTTCAGAGTTAAACAATTATACACACTTTAACCTCACGTAACTACTCACTCAGCACCTTTCTCCTTCATATCATTCTCACATTGAGTTGTATTCACTGCAGAAGTCGTTCAACAGTTTGACGCCTGGAATAAGCTATGTAAGCTCGCTTCAATGTTTGATGAATTAGGGTAAATAATGAATGAGTTCCCGGCCACCATAAATGAAATTACATTTTATGGCCATTTTTCACACTTGCATGGCTTTATTAAATTCGAGAGTTAAAGAAAAGGTCGGTCTTCTAAATGAACCGGTAAACTTTTTTATTCATTCTTCAGATCTTTCTAGTTTAACGCTCATCTCAATCTCTGGACAAACAAAAACAGACAGAGTAGCCGCCAAGTGTAAGTGATAAATGACACTTTTACGCAGGTACGCAGAATAATAACTGTTTGGGTTTCAAGGACTATCGGTAAGGCAAGGTTGCTATAATGAAAGCTAACCTTACTCTACCAGCTTAAATCACATGGTATTTCCTTGCATTTAGAACTTTAGAATAAAACTTTTCAATGCTAACAGATTCGTTTTTGTTAAAAAGGACCCTTCTTGTCGCCCTGTTTTGTATCTGCCTAGTTCATTCAAAACTTCATTAATAAAACTCCCTTGAGCCGCACAAGCTCTTGTTATATTTCTTCATTTGCAACGAGCTAGAAATGACTGCAACTACCTTCCTGCCTTCGTTTTCGCAATCAAACACGCTGCTGCCTGCCTGCGTTTGATAAATACTTGCCAAGTCGCCCTTGTCCATACCACCTTGTGGCCTTCTGAGTATGAAATAAAGTTAATAAAAATATGTAAACGAACAAAAAAGAGAGGGAGAGAAAATGAATAAACAACACAAGGGCTTCTGTTGAATGAATCAGCACGGTTGAATTGCTCAGTCATCTCAATGTATGGAACATATATGCCGCCCCTGTGCAGCAAGCATATTAGCTTGTCAGTATATGCTCCCACGCATCACAGACTAGATTTTTAGAGAAGGCACGCGGGCTGGGGGGTGACAGAGTTAGGGGCGAGTTTAGGAATTTAGCAGGTGTAAAGTGACAGCACAGAGCACAGGACCGAGTTGACTGGCGGAATATGGAAGAAGTATTTTTCCTGCAGTCGCCGTAGTCAAACTGATGATAATGATTGTGAAGATGATCATGATAATGATGATTATGATGATGATGATGATATGTACCCAAGCAACAGTGGTCATATGCGTCTTTCATGGCCTATCGGAGTGGAATGTATAACTCACGTGCAGAAAATTAATTAGAGCCCTATGCCACGGAGTGCCTTAAGACAATATTGTAATAGGCACACGCAGAAAATTGAACTTATATTTATAATCAAAATAGATGCTTACGTAGTCTTATCAACAGCACTATGGCACAGATTTTGTGCTCGCATATAAAGGAAAAAGTCTTCAATCCCGTATTAACAAGTTATCCTTACCATTTATTCACGTTTTCCTTATTTGCCTTCACAGTAACATCATATGTTGCCCAAAAGTGGATCTTGAGAAAAACACATTTTAAAGGTATAAGTGAAAGCTCATCTATGCATAAAAGATGTTTTAAAGATGATTTCTTTCGTTATAAGGGCTTAACAATTATGTATTTGAGCATGTGGCTTCACGGAACTCCTCAAGTGAAATGCAATGACAAGCAGCCACATGACAATTTTGAGAGGACTCTAGACAATAAGCTCCCTTTAGATTTTACTGGCTACTTTGTGCTCTTTATTGGGATACTAAGTCAACAATTAACTTCAGAGTGAAAGCTCAATGTATGAAAACATCTAAAACAACAGTATTGTCAACTGCCGTGCCCTATTTACCGAGAAATGAAGGTAAATGCACAAGAATACATGTGCCACAGTAAGACATTTTAAAAATGATCTTGATGATGTCAGAAGAACCGCCTACAATTAGTCAGTAGTAATCGATCTAGCTGCACTAAATTAAGAACCTTCCGTGCACCAAGAGACGCAATAAAATGCTGATTGGTCATTTCTGTTTGATTCTTGGAAAAAAGAACCACCGAACGTTACTATGGGGAATGGCGCAAGTGGTTCGAAAATTCCATTTTTGCATGGCTAAACTGGGCAGGTTTTGCCATCTAGCGGGGCCTCAGGTGAACCAATCACACCTGCAATTTTGATGGCCATTGCTAAAAATTGTTTAATGGCCATTGTTGCTGCTGTGGCTCCCGCTACTTCTCTCTGCTGCCACTATACTGTTGGAGACTGCACACAAAAGCCGGGTAACGTTGTGCTCGGCAACTGTAACGTCACACGTTTTGTTGAGGCGGGTAATATGAAGTTCACATACCCGATGCAACCCCTAAAACGCGATTTTGTTTCAAAATAAGCCCTTCCATGGCACAAAAGTACCACTACGAGGTTTCTGGACCGCTATTTCAACAATTATCTACTTAACTGTGGCCTTTAAAAGGGCTTTTAGTTTACTTCGAGTTTAATCACAATCAGTTTTTTTGCCATGAGAGTAGACAAACTAAACTTGTGAAAGATAAAAATGAAAAATGTGTAATTTTGTAAAAAAAACTTGCATTTTTACTCTCATTTTTCCTTAAACTCAGTACAGTGAAGTGTGTATCTGTCTTTCAATCCAATGAAGTTATCTTCTTTCAAATCCCGGCTGTGACAGCTGCATTTTCGGTGTAGGCGAGAATGCTGTAGGTCTGTATGCTCAGATTTGGGTGCACGATACGGGGCTCCGGGGGTCGAGGTTTCCTGAGCCCTCCACTGCGGCGTCTCTCGAATCATGTGGTGGTTTTGGAGCGTTAAACCCTACATATCAGTCGGTATAGTAATTAGTATCCAATAACTTCAAAGTAAACTTGAATGCTAATAGGCACAACATACAACCTTCGCACAAGTGTGAATTGTTGAAACATCTGAAGAAAGGTTTCGTTCTTACTTGCAAAGACTAAGGCAGGCTTATCTCAGGAGTTAGTTTCTTTTCAAAGTCCTGTTATTCAGATATGCTTATGCAAAAATGCAATTACCGTTTATTGCTACCACAGCAGCATTCAGAATTTATTTACGGCCTCCTGCAAGCTATTGCAGGAGCCTGTATTTACACAGAGGCCTGTATCAAACATTTCAAGTTGTTTGAAGTTGTGGGAGTGATTCGCATTCACTTGTAGTACAGTCGAACCCTTTATAGAAGACAACAGTATGCCTACAGTAAAATACGGGTTGATAAGAAAATGCATACGAGATATCCTGCTTATTAGAGAAATCTTATATAAGAGACCAGAATTGCTATCTGGTGCATGCCTTTATGAAGGGGTTTAGTAACTGTATGCTGTCATAGTGCTGTGAAGTGAAGCTTTAATATCTGGCTGTGCTGTACAATGCTTTCAATATACATGTGAGCTACACTTGTCCCACCACTCCTGTCTCTGTAATTTTTTTATTTTGTCCTTCTTTTGTAGTTGTTCTAATTCGTGAAAACGTTATGCCATAACAAATAATCCAGATTGCCATGCCACCATATTGAACGAAACCGGTTTTTTTCTGTAAGTGTACCGACAAGCTGGACAGGTCTTCTTGCGCTTTGGTGATCCTCAGTCTAGTTTGTCTGCATAATATCTGTCCTGATCACTGATGAGTGACACTCACGCTGCAACAATTTGCGAGCTAAACTCAGCTTAGCTA